CGTTAAACGGGCGCGCGAGTGTGCACACGCGCTGCCACAGGTGTGGTGCGGGCTAATGTTTAGTCCGGGCATGCAGGCATGCAGCCGTGCAGGCACGCAAGCAGGTAGAGGCAGGCTCTCTCGGGCTGGCGTAGAAATGATTTCCATCGAAGAAGTAGGACGAGCGAGCGAAACGGCGCGGTGCTCGCACGCGTGTGACGTCAGAAATGCGTTTCGGGGTCCAATTAGTCGAAGGACACGTATAATTGGAATTAAGCTCTTAATTAATAGTTAATTAGCCGCCGGTAGTGCCGGCACCAGCCGATTGCCGGCGCAAGCAACAACTGTAGTAACGAGTTAGCCCCGGGGAGAGAGGGTTTCATTGTGGAGCGTGGCGCGCGCGCCACTGAGCCGGTTTCTCGCTCGTTAATTCGAAATTAATTTATAATTGATAATTATTTTCGGGCCACGGGTCCTGCCCGCCCGCTCGCCCAGCCGAGCCTTTCTAAATCGCCGCGCCCTCTGCTCGCTCCGCGCGGAAAATTACCATTTATTCGACGCACGCGCGTCGCTCCGCAACAATTCGCGATACTCGGATTTTGCGGTTCCTCGATTTTCACAAGAAACAACCGGGTAACAAGCGGAAAGATTAGATTTGTATTCGTTGCGCTTCGGGATGAATTAAGATGGCAACGCTCGAAGTTGTCTCGACATTTTTCCCGGCATAAATAGATCGCGGATGTTCACGCAAATTCCTGCTTTTTTTCGCAGGGTTTTTTGTAGAACGCCGAATAAGCGAGAATATTTCCTTCCTCCAGCGGCAAATTTTTTTAGATTGAAATGAAAGGGACGATCTATTCGCGCGTTCTAGATTATTCCTTATATCTCTGTAGAACTTTGAAGTCGCGTACCGATTTATTACGTTTCTTGATCTAATTTCATTTTTAGCCGGAACATGGTAAAAATATCCTGTTCTCTTCCAACCGTTAGTTCAAACGTCTGGGAAATATCAGTTTCTACTTAAATTGTGAATTCGTTGTTAAATTACTGCAATAGTTCATGTTTGCTGGTTACGATTGGTACAAATTTGTTGTATAAAATGTTCGGGATTTAGATCATTAATGTAATAATAATTTAATGATCTAAAAAGTTAGATCGTTAATACAACAATAATTTAATGATCTAAAAAGTTAGATCGTTAATACAATAATAATTTGATGATCTGAAAATTTAGATCGTTAATACAACAATAATTTAATGATCTAAAAAGTTAGATCGTTAATACAATAATAATTTGATGATCTGAAAATTTAGATCGTTAATACAACAATAATTTAATGATTTAAAAATTTTGATCATTAATACAATAATAATTTAATGATCTAAAAATTTAGATCATTAATACAATAATAATTTCATAATCTAAAAATTTAGGTCGTTAATACAATAATAATTTAATGATCTAAAAATTTAAATCGTTAATACAACAATAATTTAATGGTTTAAAAATTTTGATCATTAATACAATAATAATTTAATGATCTAAAAATTTAGATCATTAATACAATAATAATTTCATAATCTAAAAATTTAGGTCGTTAATACAATAATAATTTAATGATCTAAAAATTTAAATCGTTAATACAACAATAATTTAATGGTTTAAAAATTTTGATCATTAATACAATAATAATTTAATGATCTAAAAATTTAGATCATTAATACAATAATAATTTAATAATCTAAAAATTTAGATCGTGAATACAATAATAATTTAATGATCCAAAAATCTAGATCATTAATATAAATTGCATTCTGGTATTCCACAAATTCGCTCATGGCATGAACGCATCGAGTTCCGCAGTCTGGTCATGAAATAAAAATATTAAATTGATTCTTGCCTTAGAATGAACAAGAAACGAGCAAGAATGTGAAAAGATCTCTTTCTTATGATGTAACCCAAACGATCGCCGAGAAGAGAAACAGACTCCTCAGTTGGAAATCCTAGCAGAGCCGCGATGCCAAGAACACCGTGGCAGATAGATTTTCTTTCAATGTTTCCGCGCTGTTTGAGACTACTCTCTCGAACCAGAGGTCGATGGACTGCCATCGGTAATAAATATTCCAGCCATTTTCTCCGAGATGTCGAATAACAAATCTGCTCAGCGATGGCCCGCCCGTAATGCGAAAATTGTAGCCTGTTAACTATCGGATGGCAGTCGTCTTGCCTAATTCATAATTTTCTAACAGCTAGCTACGTTAGCTCGCTGTTAAATAGCCGATAAACCGCTTTGCTATTTACAAAGAAATAAAAAGAAATTGCTAAAAAATATTCTTATCGAAATCTCGCAGGCGCTGTCAAACAGATTCGACGTGGCGAAACACGATTTAAAGCCTCGAAATGGCCGCTTGAAATTGGCAAAGCTTGCACGCAGAGAATCCTCCTTCCGTATTCAATTAAAAATAATATAATTGCGCCGGTCGCATCGATCGCGTATCCTCGTATCCTCTCGGTTAGCAGTTTAATTATTATCATTCTGGTGTTATAAACGCGACGATAACGAACGCCAACGCGCGGAGAAAGGAACGCGAGAAAAATAGAAAATACCGTCGCTAATAAATATTGGGAAGGGAACGAGGCGACGACGGCCGCATCGCTAGGCAATAAACGGAAACACGTTGCAACCGCGCTGTTTTACGGAAACCTTTTTTTTGTAGCGATGCGTGAACATAGTGATCGCACAGACCGAGCGTCTAACGCTAGGTTAAATCCGTTTCATTTGCGTTAAAAAGGCCTGCGATAAACATATCGGCTAGCTAAATATTCCGGGGACAAACGAGCCCCGGTTCGATCGATCGCTAACAGCCCGAAAAAATATGTTTAATTGGAATTAAATGGAAGAGAGGATTGATGAGGCGAAAACGCGTGGATCCGGCCAGCATAATTTGCGTGGGATGTACGCGTGGTCTCGATTCATTGGCAAGTCAGGTATAATGGGTAATTTGATCCGCGAGGTGTTTGAGCGGCCCGAACAAAGCGGCGTGTGTAATTATCAATTACAGCCAGTGCTATGAAATAATGAGCTGCCTGCCCGATGGAGCGTTGCCGGCCGTCAGCGACGGATTTTTGCGCGAAAGAGGATACGCCCCTGCATAATATTCTATTATTTCACCTGCGTTGGCCTTCTCGGAGTACAACTGAAATGGAGCCCGATAGAAAATGAAGGGAAAAAATTCGGCCGCCGATGAAAACTGAAATAAAATGAACTCGGAACACCAATTTGTACTTCCACCGGCTATCGTTAATCGAAAGATTGTGCGTGGCGATCCGAACGTTGGTGCTCGTTAGAAAATTTTGAGAATTCTTTTATCCGCTGGCTGAGTAATTGTTTTGCTGATCGCGTCCAATATGGCCGCGGGAGGCAACTATGGAAGATGTTATAGAGATTATAAATGAATCGAACCGTTTTTGAATTTGATTAGAGATCAACTCAAATTAGAGATCAACAATTGATCAAATCCATTTGGTAACAAGTTACGAACGCACTGCGCACTGGCGTCGAATATTTGTATATTTTATAAAAGCGCAAGGATCGAGTTGTTCATTTCGCGATGGAAAGTGAAGATTTCTCGATAACAAATAATTCTGGTCACATCGTTAATAAGAACTTGAAGCGAGTTTTAATGAAATTTGTAACCAGCGGTATTTGTGCCGCTTGCGCTATAATAACGAGTCAGACTTATGGCAAAGGTTTCGTAAATAATTTGCTAGATATAAATGTTATTCATTTTTCTTCTAAATTGAAACAAAATTTGATTCTTCCGTTGATAATGTCTACAGGAATGAAAGTAAATTAGGATAGACAAGAAATAATTCTTATTATAGATAATAATCTTCTTACTTGTCCCGTTATAATTGAGAACATTCTCGCTAATTAACCTACAGTCGGCCACAAAAATATTCGGATCATTATATTTATATCTGTATTGATCTTCATGTTGAATATATTTCAACTAAATGTACAACATAGTGCAAAAATGTATTATGATATGATAGAGCATAATATTTAGACAACATAAATGCAGAATTTGAATCGCTAATTTTAACAAAAAAGTTCGGACATCGAATAATAATTAATAATATCGGATAATAAGTAATTGATGCAATAATTTTTAACGATTTTGCTAAAATATAGTAGAATATATGTAACTAAAGATTATTATTACTTATTGAATAATAAGTAATTGATGTAATAATAGTTAACGATTTTGCTAAAATATAGTAGAATATATTTAGCTAAAATACAGAACATAAAGATTATTATTACTTATTGAATAATAAGTAATTGTTGTAATAATCGTTAACGATTTTGCTAAAATATACTAGAATATATTTAGCTAAAATACAGAACACAAAGATTATTATTACTTATTGAATAATAAATAATTGTTGTAATAATCGTTAACGATTTTGCTAAAATATACTAGAATATATTTAGCTAAAATACAGAACACAAAGATTATTATTACTTATTGAATAATAAATAATTGTTGTAATAATCGTTAACGATTTTGCTAAAATATACTAGAATATATTTAGCTAAAATACAGAACACAAAGATTATTATTACTTATTGAATAATAAGTAATTGTTGTGATAATCGTTAACGATTTTGCTAAAATATAGCAGAATATATTTAGCTAAAATACGAAACATAAAGATCAAAGTTATACAAGAGTCCGATCGTTTCCGTAGCTGCGAAATAATTCATAACGAGCGAGATTAATATGACTAATTTAAAAAAAATTCTCCAAATCCTACCACCTTCGCGTATTTTCTGTTAACAAATAAACAATAAAATAGCATTCGTTCGACACTGAAGTTCAAGGAACACACTGCTGCACGCTATAAATATCCTCGCAAAGACGTTGCCTCGCAAAGAATAGCTATTCTGATCGTAAAATTAAATCCTCGCGCAGGATGCATAAGAGAACCACTAACGCGGACTGTTCTGTTGCAGGAGTGGGGCACAACATAGATTCAGGAAAGGATTTCACGGTCGACGGTCTCTCCGGTTTCAGCAAAAAGAAGAAGAAGAAGCGCCGTCATAGGTGAGTATCTCACACGAACTTCAACCGTGAGATTTCCCGTGACTGTTCCCGCTGCGCCGCGCGTTCCTTCTGCCTTCGAAGCACGCGACCAAGCGCCGCCATTAGCACCCAGCTCGCGCCATTCCATAAAGAGATACAACGCCCAAGTCAGCGCGACGGACGCGCGAGCAAATGATTGATAACCGTTCTCTAGAATCCCGTCATCGTTATTCTCTTGATCGTCGATAATAATCGCGAGTCACTTTCTTCCGAATAATGAACGTCTTTTTGCACCCACGCATGTCTGCGCAGAGTATGGCACGCGACTGTCATCGCTACATTCCATCTTATCCTGTTCCGGTGATCCGACAGAAAAATGTCGTGCGAACGTTAACGAAGAAATTTTCAATCGTTTAACTCTTTGGGACACGGCGGGATTCAAAACGTCCCATCTTTTTGATGCACGGTAATGCATGGTGGGACATTTTTTGCAATAGATGCATTCATGAACCTAATGTGGCACGGTTGGACTATTTGAGTCTCAGCCTGTAACAAGAAATTGAATTGAATTGTTATTATTTCTTTATGTTTTTATATTTTATGCGATTCCTTTGTTAACACTAGATTTGCGAAATATGTCAAAATGACGGGTCAATAATTTTTTAATTTACGATTATTCATATCGTGAAGATATGCTATTTATTCTATTAGTTCTGTTGTTTATTTTACTTATTATATTAGATATTTATATAATTTATGTACGTTACTCGCGGCAAATGTTACAATAACGCTCGTTCAAAATCAGAATAAATGTCCTATTGTTACTTTTATAAATTAGTATAAAACAGATGTCTTTTGTGCTCCGTAAATCTAGTGTCAATAAAAATATACTAATTTTCTTTAATTTAAAACGCGATACAATCTCTATATAACAAGGATCTATTTCATTTTCTGAAATTCTGTGCCCCAAAGAGTTGAATTAGAAGAGAGAAGACTATTAGAGAAACTATTACCAATAACTTATTGTAAATAAGTCATTGGTAACACCAATAAAACATTGTAAAAGCTATTGTTCGATGGATCACCGTAACCTCGAAGCGAACCTGGATTTCATAAATATCGAAAAGTACTTCACGTTCAATTATACATTCTGAACAACGATCTACAGCGCGTAGAACGTTAAGATTACCGGATATACTTGGCAAACCGTGGCGACAGTTACGTGCTACAGCCTGTGTGTATCATTTCAGACTTTTCATCGTGTAATCGCCGAGTCGGCTGGTAACGAGTTTTCAGCTATTTTGAAGTGACAGACAATCCGAACGCAATCACGGCTCGCCAATAATTGCGTGCCAGACGGGCGGACCTCGGCTCGAATGATCGTTAAAAATATAATTATCCCGTTCGAATCGATTCGATCGGGTGTTTCGATTCGCCGTTCGCGGGACGTAAGATACATTTTTACTTAACGTTTTGGACAAACGAGTACCTGCAAAATTATCGATCTCGATCGAGCTCAATCGATACGAAGACACTTCGGTCAGTCCAATTTGTTTTCTATGCTCATCGAGAAGACTATCCATGATCTTTACTAAATTAATTTTGTTCTAATTAAGCCAGATATCCAGAGATATTCGATGAAAATACTCGCGAGTGTCCCAAATCCTTCGAGTAAAGTCTCGGTATGCGAACGATATAAGTTCTGTCGGTTGATCCACGAGTGTATGCTAGGTTTAAGGGAAAAACTGTAATGGCATATAACTAGGTTCATACGGTTGTTGCTCCAGGACGATCTTCACGTCGCAACAGCTGGAGGAGCTGGAGGCAGCGTTCAAAGAGGCCCATTATCCTGACGTCTATGCTCGCGAGATGCTCAGTCTCCGAACCGATCTGCCCGAAGACAGGATACAGGTGAGCGAAAATCAAAAGACCTATGAAACCCGACCTCGCGACCTACGAATCAGAGAGGCCCGATACCCTCCACCTCCACCACCACCGCCGCCACCATCGCCTTGTGAAATTCGCAACTCAGAGGTATCGTGTTTCCCCGCTCACGAACCCCCGTGAACCGATCGAACCAGTCAAAGGATACTTTCTTCGTTTCCCTCCCCCTCCATTCACGGCCCCGCCAATTCGTTCAATGGGGTCGTCGAACTTATTAGTCCGTCTAATCGGAACCGCGAATCATTTATCGAGACGCGATACAGAAATACGTCGCCGAAATTGGCAGCGAGCAAACGCGTTGCCATCAAATTCGTGCGTTTTGTACAATACTTGGCATTTTTCTTCGATGGCTGTTTGTACCAGGCTTGTTATATATTACTTTGTTACTACGTGTTATTTGTGATTTATTTATTCGGCTGTTCATATAATCGAGTGGAGGAGTGTTGATAATTTTTAATATAATTGATGATATATGAATTGATGATATTGAATATAGTTGATAATTTATAATATAGAATATTCGTAGAAGACCGGGGCTGGAGATTACACGGGTAAAGAGTTACATTGAAATTTTCGATCGATCAACGTTGCTGTCGGAATTTCGCGAAGAAACAAATGCCCGCGTTGACTGTCATGACAATGTGTGAAATGTCACGTTAAACGTGCCACGGGAAACACTAAACGCCACGCGTATGTATTAATTGCGACAGTAATTATTCAGGCTAAATACCTTGCTATTTTGTTCCATCGAGAGCTCGTTTTTATTCTTCGGTTCAAGCATAAAAGGTATAATTTTTGTTCAATTTGAAGGATGTATGTTTTCTATATTTTTAATTCATTTAAGAGGATTATATTATTATATTATATTATTACTTATTGCGATAGCAATTATTCAGACCAAATACATTGTTATTTCGCTTGATCGAGATTTCATTTTTATTCTTTAGTTAGTTCAAGCTTGAAAGGTATAGTTTTTGTTAAAGTTAGAGGGTGTCCATTCTATATTTTTGTATTATCGTTATACTATATTATTATTAATTGTGGCGGCAATTATTCAAACTAAATANTGACGTCTATGCTCGCGAGATGCTCAGTCTCCGAACCGATCTGCCCGAAGACAGGATACAGGTGAGCGAAAATCAAAAGACCTATGAAACCCGACCTCGCGACCTACGAATCAGAGAGGCCCGATACCCTCCACCTCCACCACCACCGCCGCCACCATCGCCTTGTGAAATTCGCAACTCAGAGGTATCGTGTTTCCCCGCTCACGAACCCCCGTGAACCGATCGAACCAGTCAAAGGATACTTTCTTCGTTTCCCTCCCCCTCCATTCACGGCCCCGCCAATTCGTTCAATGGGGTCGTCGAACTTATTAGTCCGTCTAATCGGAACCGCGAATCATTTATCGAGACGCGATACAGAAATACGTCGCCGAAATTGGCAGCGAGCAAACGCGTTGCCATCAAATTCGTGCGTTTTGTACAATACTTGGCATTTTTCTTCGATGGCTGTTTGTACCAGGCTTGTTATATATTACTTTGTTACTACGTGTTATTTGTGATTTATTTATTCGGCTGTTCATATAATCGAGTGGAGGAGTGTTGATAATTTTTAATATAATTGATGATATATGAATTGATGATATTGAATATAGTTGATAATTTATAATATAGAATATTCGTAGAAGACCGGGGCTGGAGATTACACGGGTAAAGAGTTACATTGAAATTTTCGATCGATCAACGTTGCTGTCGGAATTTCGCGAAGAAACAAATGCCCGCGTTGACTGTCATGACAATGTGTGAAATGTCACGTTAAACGTGCCACGGGAAACACTAAACGCCACGCGTATGTATTAATTGCGACAGTAATTATTCAGGCTAAATACCTTGCTATTTTGTTCCATCGAGAGCTCGTTTTTATTCTTCGGTTCAAGCATAAAAGGTATAATTTTTGTTCAATTTGAAGGATGTATGTTTTCTATATTTTTAATTCATATAAGAGGATTATATTATTATATTATATTATTATTTATTGCGATAGCAATTATTCAGACTAAATACATTGCTATTTCGCTTGGTCGAGACTTTATTTTTATTCTCTAATTAGTTCAAGCTTGAAAGATATAATTTTTGTTAAAGTTAGAGAGAGTCTATTCTATATTTTTAAATATCATGTAAGGACTGTATTATTGTTATATTATATTATTAATAATCGTAACAGCAATTATTCAGACTAAATACCTTGTTATTTCGTTTCATCGAGACCTCATTTTTATTCGTTAGTTAGTTCAAGCATAAAAGGTATAATTTTGGATAAAGTTAGAAAATGTCTGTTTTACATTTTTAAATCACATAAAGATAGAGTCTAAGACTGTCCCGATACTATCTAAATATCGAACATATATTATCTGTGATAATTTGAGAATAATTTCTAACAAAATATTGACAAATAACAATATATTTATTACTCGCAACATTTGATCCCTTTCAACAGTTACACTGTCTCCATTCACGTAAAATCATTTCAGACAATTCTATAAACAACAAGTATTAATACTAAGACTTTTATGAAAATGTCAGCAGTCATCAATTTACATTCAATTATACGATTAAAACGCGTTAAAGTATCAACGAACATCTCGCGCGACGAACTATTCGGACAAATTCGAACAAAAAGAATGCAGAAACTGAGTAGCTCGTACCGAATTGAATCGATTAGTTTACGTATCGAAAGAGTCGAGCAGCAGCGGCAGCACAGCAGCCGGCGCAATTGAGAGTGCTCGCGTAATTTAACGCTCGCGTTCCGCTGTTTATGACGAAAATATGGATTGAAGAATGGAAGGCCAGAGTGGTACGCAACCGCGTACGGCTCTTGCAGTTTGTTAAATTCATTTCCCGGCGAATCGTAATGGCGGAGAGCAGATCGCGCGGTAGACACGATTAAATGGGTCCATTTTCCGCGGTAAATCGCGTCGCGCGCGTTCGAAAATGCTTGTTTGCGAATGACGGGACAGCGTTCGCCTATTAAACAAACGGCCGCACAATGCGATTCCTTCCGCGTGTCGGTTCGCCGGGAATCGTCGGGCGCGCGAATTCTCGAAGAAGGATTCTGCATAACGCGAACAAAAATGCCGGACTGATTTTCTCGCCGCGCTGAAGCCTTTGTTACGGCGAATAGTCGGCGGACATTTTGCCGAGGCAGGCTCTGCCTCGAAACGCATAATTCGCTATTAAACCCCGCAATCCGCCGTTATGTCCCCGCCCGCCCCCCTAGCCACCGTCTGCCCCCGTTCGGCCGGTAATTCCGCCCGTTAACGAGAATTAACAACGTTACACGCTCTTTTCACGACGATCGCCGGGCTACATAAATCCATCGGAAATATAAAGCTTCGATATATTCCGGCGCAATTAAAGCGCCCGTTGTTCTGTCGCCGATAACGCCGTTCGAAAATTATATTAACGAGGGATGCTTTTTGCAAACAGATTTAACGGCCGCCGGTTCGTCAAACGGAATTATTATCAATTAGCGAGCGGACGGCTCTAGTTACGTTTCCGCGAAATTATGCGGCGGCAATACAATGAATTATTTGACGCGCCGCGCCCCCTTTCAATCCGGATAATATTATGATCTGATGACCGAAGAATGCGATAATGATGTCGCCGCTACACGCCGCTTCGCGCGTCGTTCCGCTTATAATCTTGTCACCGCCGCGCGATTTCAAGGAAACGCCGGAGACGTTTCCCGCTCGATTCGACGATACTCTCTCCGTTCTCCGACGTGTTTGCCGGCGGATCCGAAACGTGAAAAACGCTGCTCCGGTTTTTCCTTGGAACGATAGCTTCCTCCAGATTCCTCCGATTCCTTCAGAAACGACAGCTCGCAGCAAGATCCTGCTAATTGCTAGCTGTTTCCACGCGACGAGTCGGCCGCAGGCTCGCTCGATTCCGCAGCGATATCGCGCAGAATTATCGACAGCGTCGTGCAAAGCGACGAAAGAACAGTCGCACATGAAAGGGGTAGGGGGTAGGGGTACGCCGGTGGCACATTGTTGGGGGTGGAGAGTGGCAGGACCAAAAGGCGCGACCATAAAAGGGAGAATTTTCCCGGCTGACGGTTAGTTACCGCGGACCGGTGGAGTACTAGCCTGAGATAGGTTTCCGCATGGCGGACCCGGGACAAGCTTCCCCCTCGCCCCGTTTCAACCCCCGTTCCTTTTCCTCTCATCGCGATTCACCCTTCAGCCCCCGCCGCCGGCCACGCTCCCTCTCTCTCTCTCTTTTTCTCTCTCTTTACGTCTCTCTCCTTCCGGGTTTCACGCCCGTGTGTCGCTCGAACGACATGTGTGCGGTCCGAGGCCTCGCATATTGAGATCGTCTGCGGAGAAAAATCGCTAGTAGACGCGGAATAACAGGGCCAGAGAGATAGATGGATTAATTCGTCGCCCGTGGCTCTGGAAGTTCGTTTGCGATGTAAAATAGGAAATTTGGGTCGATAGCGACGCGGCGCGAGGGATGTTTGAGCGTACGCGGAGAACGTGGACGAGCGGGTGCGCGGAGGAATTGGAAAGAGGATCGATGGATTCGCTGATTCCGATTGTCCGGCGATCTTTATGCGACTGCCAGTTTTGTAGATCGTTTCATTTAGATCACTTTAACCTGTCGAATCTCTGAACATTTTCTGATTTCTCTCACGAATCTGAGAAATCCGTGGTCTTAGAAAACGTAGACGGGAGCAGCTAAATTGCTAAATCAGCATGTTGATTGAACCTATGGCGAGAAAGAACTATACTTATAGCTTTATTAACACTTTAATGGCCGCTCACACATGTGTGTGACGCTTTAATAATTACCACACGAAGGAAAAATATTAAATTTGTTGCGTTAAATGTGTTGTTATTGTTGCTTTGTTTTGTTTTACCTGCATGTTCGCAGATGTTGAATTATTTCACGAATTTACATAAATATTGCCGGCCCCTGGCGATGTTTGACTGCGTAGACGTGCGCCTATTAAAGTGTTAATGGCATCAGTTGATTGTAAATTGTGTTCGATGGCTAGTTCAGCAACGTATCTGGTAGAAGAAAAATATTCGCAGCGCTGTCAGCGATACTAATAGCGCTAATAAGACGAAGGAGAGTTGGAGAAAGCTTTAATGTCGCCGGAGCAGGACTACGCGACATCGCATACTTAAGAACAACAATTAGTTATTACAAGAAAATCCGAATATTTTAAACGGAAGACGCGCAGGCTCGAATGAGCAAAATAAACACCGAAGAACAGTAAACAATAACAAGAGACTGTAAAAGTTAAAGGAATAATCCTACTGCAGCAACGTCTCTCTCATTGACGCTCAGATTATCCACAAAAATGGAAAGAGGACAACAATTGGAACAATTTGGGAAGAGGAGATACGATTGATTTGAATCCTGCGCCTCGTTTTCATAATTACCGATTCTCAACAACTATAAAAACGAGGCGCGCAAGAAGACTCGAATAATCGTATCCTCTCCTCCGAAATTGTCCGTCTTCGTGCAGAATTTAAGCGTCAATTAGAGAGAATTTACTGTATCGCGTCCGGACGTCGAGAAAGCGCGAAACGAAGACATCCGAGCCAACCCCTAATCAATGCGTAGAAGCGTGGACACGTGGGGGTGGCCGGGCACTAAAACAGTCGCGCGTTTCCGTCCATGAATGACCAGCTCGCTCGCACACAGGCCGCTGATTATATTTTGATATAATTCGAGGGTGGTGAAAGGGGTTTCAGGGTGGAAGTGGGCCGCGAAGCAAAGGTGGTAAAGGAACCGCTAGAGGAAGCGACATCAGGGGTGGCGAAGAAACGACGGGAACGGGAGCGACGAAGACCGGTCCGTGTTATAGGTAGAGGAACGTGGCGGTGGAAAAAAGACGGAGCGTGAACGAGCGATGGTGGGAGGGAGGCAGAGAAAGAGAGAAAGAGAGAGAGAGAGAGAGAGAAAGAGAAACGAACGAAAGAGGGACGTATGGAGGAAGGGGTAAGGGCGTTCGGTTGAGTCGCGCTTCACGGGGTTGTTGAAGGTTCGTGGCTGAAGCGTACAGGCGCGTACACGCGACGCTGTAGAGGGAGAGAGAAAGAAAGAGCGAGAGGG